TTGAGGCAAACAGTTGGGGGAAATAAGGACTCATTTCCTGTTCCGCTCTCCACATCCCATAATAGCATCCTGTGGCTGGGGCAGCTTGCTACTGCACACAGAGATAACAGCTGTTGAAAGGAACTTTGTATGCTGTGTGACCTCCAGCGAGCGGCTGAGTGCCAGCAACTGGGGAGAAGCCAGTTCCTTGTACCAGGTTATAGAATGGCATAGTGTTCACAGAGAAGGCGAGGGAGGAGGAAGACCCTGGGGTGGGGTGGGGTGGGGAATGAGGAGCGGGCTGCCAGGGGAGGGCAGGATGACGTCTGTGTCAGAGCACCTTGGCTACCGTGACATCACTGTCGTTCAGAACAGAAGTGACATAAGCATAAAGGAGGAGAACAGTTGTGTGAGCGAGGGAGGAAAATGAGCTCCTGGGGGGGGGTAGCTAATTAGCCTCCTTTGCAAAGTCTTCTCAGCTGGTTTCAGAAACCGTTTGAGGTCAGGAGCTGAAGTGTTGCTTCCTTTACTCTCTTCCATTAGCAGGACATTGTTTTAAGTCCAAAGCAGGAATTCTTGGACAGTTTTTGTTTTTGCAATGACCATTTTCAGACTGTTGGTTCTCCTGAGGATTGCACTCCTATGGCAAAATTAAAAAGAATCCTTAGGACTATACTCCTGGAGTAAAATTGCCACAGATTGTATCCTGGAGGTGAATTTGAGTGTCCTCTCTGTGGCATCCCTTAATATTGGCATCTCTTAGAGCAGACCTGGGCAAAGTGCGGCCCGAGGGCCATATCCGGTCCGTGAGCCGCTCCTGTCCGGCCCGCGGACAGTTTTGAACATCAAAACCATTTATAGCTTTTTGTCTAAAGTTGATCAGTTGCTTATCTTTAACATACTGCAAAAAAAACCTCTTTAGTATTTGTGAAGATTAACAAGTTTAAAATAAAAACAATAATAACATCACTGTTTCATTTTATTTTTAAGTGAAGTTGATTCGGCCACCGAACACAGTTCAGATTTTTCATATGGCCCCCTTATAGAAATTAATTGCCCACCCCTGTCTTAGAGGGACTCCCAGTGGTTGAGCCACACTGCCACCAGAATTAACAGCAAGAAGGACAGGTCATTTTTAAAGCAAAGGCAGGAATGTGTGTTTCTCTAGTTGCTGTTGGCCAACATTTCCCATCATCATTAGCCAGAATAGGAAATAGGGAGGCATTCTGGGAGTTGTAGTATCAACATCTGGAAAGCCATATGTTTTCTTCTCCTGTGTGGAATAATAACTTAAAATACAGGCCAGAAACGTTGGAAGTAGTGCTTGCCGATGCAGATTGAATCTAAAACAGTTGTTCTCACCTTGTTGTTTTAATAAGGTAACACTGGGTACTTATGGGGGTGGGGAGACAGCAGTGGTGGGATTCAAATAAATTAACGCTGGGTACTTATGGGGGTGGGGAGACAGTAATCTTTTGACATGATGGACTGTGGAGCAAAGTGAAGCCTATAGGCAAAAAGGGTGTCGAGACTGGAAGTGCTAGCTTCTGTTGTGTCTGGAAGAGGACTTTGTGCCTTTGAGCAGAAGATGGGAAAGGCTCATGCTTGTGGGATTTTTCGGTCTTGGAAAGAAAGTAAGTGTATCAAGTTCTTCTGATACAGATATAGGATGCCCAGTGCACACACATTCTTGATGTCAGGAATGAAAGTTTATGTGTTTCAAATGCAGCTTTTCCCCTTTAGGAAAAGGCAGTCCACAAGCAGATAAGAATAAGGTGCCTGGAGCTTGGAAACACTAATTTTAAAAATTAATGCATCACCTGTTTATCCTTTCTTTGTTTTTCAAGTAAGACATTACTCATTCATGTTGCTTGTTACTTGTGCTTAACTAGTTAAGTGTTGCATCACTCAATGTCGATGGGATTTCTGTTTTTTAAAAAATGATCCTTTGCATCCCCCTCAGCTCCCCAAAGATTCTCTGCTTTGTAACGCCGATCAAAACACGATGTACGAGTGAACCAGATATGCCTGAAAGGTTATTTGCAGGGCTGTCATTCCACCAAGTGAAGCGTTCCTCCTCCAGTGGCTCCAAGAGGGGCTTGGTGTGTGTGTGTGTTGTTTCACCTCGGCTCATGGCGGCAAAATGTCCTGGGCTGACACTAATTCACTGGCCTTGTTCTTGAGCTGTCTTTGATCTGTTGCCTGTGATCTCTGTAAAACTGGGCCACTGGCAAAGTTCTCCTACCCTGCAGCAGGAAACAGGCGCTCGGTCTCAGCCGGGAGATGAAAAGCCCTCTGTGTTTATGGAACCGTGAGCCTTTTGTGTGGAGGCAGGGGTGGGGTGGGGGCCGATGTAGCAGGGGCTCATTTCATTCAAAACTGCAGCACTGGGTTATTTGCATCTGGTCTCTTCTGCCTTGTTCATCCTGGATTCTGCCAGAAGGGAGGGGAAAACATGGGAAGGCTTTCACAAGCCTGCGTGAGTTGTCCGCCCAGTCGCTTCTGAGTGATACCACCAGCCCCTTACTCTGCTTTCCATATCTTCAGCTGTGCAACGCCAGCAACTGGACACACCCAGCGTCCCCACCCTGAAGGGTGTCTCCCTCTCTCCACCACTGCTGTGGCCTCCAACTTACTAATGCAAGCACATGTTTGGACCTGTCTGTGTTTAATTACTGGTGGAGACAGCCTTCGTCTGTGGATTTAGGGACCAAAGAGCAGGGGGAAGAATGGAAGTCCTCTAAAATCCCAGCATCTTCCTCCATGAGCTGGCTGCCATTTAGAGCAGCTTCTGTTTTTGCTTTTGAATTTCTGGGGCTTTCAGGAAGGCCCATTAGGAAAGCTGCATTTGCTTGCCTATCTTCCTGAGTTTTTTCTTCTTCTGATGGCTCCACGTAATAAAGGCTCTGTTCACCCAGTGTTGTTTGATCAGTTGGCTCCAGTCTCTGAACAGCAAAGAGGTTTCCTATTTGCACACCTCTTCTGTACAAACACACACATGCACACAGGTACATCTAACCAGCAACCCCCTCACTTGGAGATTGCAGCCAGCTGACTCAGTTAGGGTTCCCTTCAAGGACGCACTCATGTACTTGACTGGCTGCACAAAAAGGAAGAGAAGAAAATAGCAAATAGTGTAGTGCCAGGATAAAAGTGTATGCTTTTGTTACAGGATTTGTTGTTCTTATATGGTGATAAGTCATCTCCCAACTTATGGTGGAATCCTCCCTTCTCGTGATGTGCCTCATGGAGGACAGCCTCAGTTTCAGCATTTTTGCCTCTAAAGAGACTTCAGGCTTGATTTGCTGTAGGACCCGCTTGTTCATCTTTCTGGTAGTCCGGAGTATCTGCAAAGCTCTCCTCCAGAATCATGTTTCAAACGAATTAATTGTTTTCCTGTTGGCTTTCTTTATTGTCCAGCTTTCACACCTGTACCTAATGATTGGACATACAGTATAGGAGTGTAAGTGGTTTTGGTCTCCAGTGATATATCCTTTTTTCATTGTTGACATTAAAGTTTTGTAGTTCTTCTGCAGTCATGAGTTTGGTTTTCTTAACATTCAGCTACAATCGTGCTTTGGTACTTTCTCCTTTCACTTTCCCTAAAAGTCATTTCAAGTCATTGCTGCTATCACCAAGTAAGACGGTGACTTCTGTATATCTTAAATTATTGATGTTTCTTCCACCAATGTTCACACCACCTTCATCTGAATCTTGAATGTATGTTTCCCCTCCATGCTGTAAAGGTGCTTGGCAGTGAATAAGTCAGTAGACACAAGGCAGGAATGTGGGCTATATGGGGAGACAGATGGGATTCCCAGTGTGGTGTAATAAACAGAGTGACCTACTTGGACTTGGAAGGCCTGGGTTTGAATCCCCACTTGGCCATGAAAACTCACTGGTGTGTATGTTGGGGGGGGGGAAGGGATTGATAAAGGCATTTCTTAAAAATCTCACTTATGTTGGAGTGGGGGAGATGGGACTGATAAAGGCATTTCTTAAAAATCTCACTTACCTGGAAAGCCCTGTTAAGATTGCTGTAATTCAGTCGCAATGTTAGTGACACATAACGGGACAGATGGGCAATAGGCGACCTTGGTCTCATGGCCCCTCATCATTGGCAGTGTTGGCTAGGACTGATGGAAGCTGCGTTCCAATAATTTCTGAAGGGCCACACAGTTCCCGCTTCTGGGAGGGAATTTTATTTGCCTCCATATTCAAAGAGGGCTGGTTTGCAGTTGGAACTAGGCCCCAGAGCAGCCTCTACAGTCCTTGGGACTATAATCCACCCCACCCCCTAGGCAACATGGTCATTGGCCAGACTGAGGGAAGATGATAAAGGGTTGCAGTCCAACAGGCCCAGAGGGTACTGTATTAGGCTGAGGTATGTCCAACCCAGATAGCAAGGAGACCTCAAAACTCAACTGGGCCTAATTAGTTGGAACTAGGCCCCAGAGCAGCCTCTACAGTCCTTGGGACTATAATCCACCCCACCCCCTAGGCAACATGGTCATTGGCCAGACTGAGGGAAGATGATAAAGGGTTGCAGTCCAACAGGCCCAGAGGGTACTGTATTAGGCTGAGGTATGTCCAACCCAGATAGCAAGGAGACCTCAAAACTCAACTGGGCCTAATTGAATTGTTTCAGAGGGTATCGGGTTGAGGTATGTCCAACCCAGATAGCAAAGAGACCTCAAAACTCAACTGGGCCTAATTGTCAGCATCAGTGTTGGGTTTTTATTTTAAGTGCATGCTTAAATCCTGTGAAGTGCAGTCTATATTACCAAACTTAAACAGTTTGTAATCCGGATAAGGCAGGGTCTTACCTCAGAATTTTTAGGCAAGGTGCCTCCCCGTTGTGTATCTTAAGAGACAAAAGAGTTCCTCTGAGCTTAGAAGCACAAGTGGGCAAACCTTTGTCCTCCAAACGGAATCCACATAACTTGGATAATGTCAGCTTGGGTAATGTCAAGGGATTGTGGGAGTTGTAGTTGAAGATATCCTCTATCTATGTTTTCCAGCCTGCTGAACTAACAGAATCCTTGGATCCACTGAAAATCCTTGTCTGAATCCTACCCATCCCCCTTCAGCAGACCCCTCTGAAAATCACACTGTAGGCCCTGACTTGGTGAACGTGGCTTTCAAAGGCTAAAGAACAGCAGCATCTCCGTGAGAAGTAGAACACTGAGCCAGCCTTGAGGCCGTTTTTGGCTCATGACAACGCAGGCAAGGGAAGGGCTTTGTGCTCAGGCACACACAGGACCTGGTTGTCAGGCTTGAGCATTCACATCCGTGCAAAAAAACAGATGTTTGCTTTCAAACCTAATTCCAATTGCACGTGTGGTTCGCTAATAAAAACCTGCTGCCTTGTTCCTTGGCTGCTCCTTGCAAAGAAGAAGAAGGAAAAAAAGGGGGGGGGGAGATGTGGAGTTCAACCAGAGACCAAAGAGGCACACACGCATGCACGCTTCTGCAATGTGGAAAACGGACTCAAAAACGGAACATTGTCGTTAACTGACTGTTGGGCCATCTGTAACTCATGCCAAAATGTCTGGCATTCTTAATGCTAAATGTGAACTGGAATGAATGTGGGGCCACCACCCACCTCCAGAGGGTGGTTGGATATATTTATGATAATATATCTGCCTAATCGGTCCTCTTCGCCCTGGCTCCCACCATCCACTGGGTGTGCCAGTTTACTGAAAAATTCAACAATGAGCGGGTTTGTCTAGGGTGGACTGGAGGGATAATTTTATTTAAAAATTGAGTTTTAGGATACAACAGGCTTTCTCTCCCTGAGCTTTCTCATTTCCCCATGGCATCAAGCCATATGGCTTAAAAAGCCTGCAGTGTTCAAAATGTGACTTTAGGCTTACATGCGTGACATCAGAACTGATGGTGGGTACAAGACCCTCTTCCCCCCCTCCCCCACTTAATTTGTAGCTTCAGTGTCTAAAACATTTGACAAGGCTTGGGAGAGTTCCAAGGAAAATCACCACAAAAGTTCTGGTTTGTACTAAACTCGGGAATAGAGTTCTCTGTTCATTATTTGTGTATTATTACTACAGTAGTTGCATTTATATTGTGTCTTTATTCTGAAAAGTTCAGAGTAGCATAAGCAATCTTCATCCCAATTTTAACCAAACAACCCATTATGTGAGGTCGGTTTTGCAGAGACAGAGTGAGGAGTTCAAGATCACCCAGTGAGTTTCATGGCTCAGCAAAGACCAGAACCTGGATCTCCCAGTCCAACGTATAGTTTCCAATTCCCGCGAGGTGTTGGTCCCCTCTATTCAAATAGTGGCTGAGGGATGATGCTTGCAAGGGAATACCTGCACACACATGTGAAGCAACCTTTGAAACTGCTTCCTCTGTGGCATTTCTGTGGGTTTAGAACTGTGAAGTAGTCCCCCTACCCCAATCCCTTCATGCCAGAGTCTATGACACATAAACAGAGAAAATGTGTCCGTCCCCCCCGCTTTTGAGCCATATTGTAAATAGTGGCTGAGGGAGTATGCTTGCAAGGGAATACCTGCACACACATGTGAAGCAACCTTTGAAACTGCTTCCTCTGTGGCATTTCTGTGGGTTTAGAACTGTGAAGTAGTCCCCCTACCCCAATCCCTTCATGCCAGAGTCTATGACACATAAACAGAGAAAATGTGTCCGTCCCCCCCGCTTTTGAGCCATATTGTACCTCATTTCTTGTTTTTGACTAACTGGTGTTGTTTTTCTTTTGCCTTTGCCATTGTTTCCCCAGGGCTCTGGATTCAAATGGCGCTCCCTCAGCCAGTCGCCTGAACAGCACAGGTAAGCACCTTTATTCCTTTTTGCTAGAGAGGAGTACTGAACAGAATCAGATGCTCTGTGCTTCTGATTGCTAAGCAGATTCTGCCTCTTACTCTTCTCTCTATATGTCAGGCTGGGCATGTTGCTTTGCGATCACAGAAAGACCAAAGAGAGTTCCCACCTCCACCCCCTAAAAATTGGTGTGTGTGGCAAGGAGGCCTCTTGTTTTTCACTTCAGGTAGCAAAAGGCATTGAAAAAGCCCCACTGTGGTTTGTCTCAGTGCTCCTGTGTTGGTTCTTTGCACAGCACACAGTTCTGCAGCTGCTGGTGAATTTTGGTCAAGGGTGATCTCTCCAATATGGCAGTTCATTCATGGTTTGATCAGATGGTGATCTCTCCAATACAGCAATCCATTAATGCCTTGCTTTCCACAATGCAGCTAGATTTGAAGACCATCTGGTCTCTGTTAATTATTTACTGGAGTTTTGTTGCATGATTTTTTTTTTTGTTTTCCAACCAAACTTGGGTTTTTTAAAAAAAATAAAATATGCATGTTCTTTGTCTATGAGAATTATTTGAGAAGTATTTTAAAGGAAGCACAAAGTTAAATATTTTGAACAATCTGCTAAGTCTAGACTGGGGAAGAATATTTAGAAAACACAGTGAATAAGGGCTATGAGGATAGGTAGCTTCCTGGGCAACTTTGGCCCACTAACTATTTTGGCTTACAATTCCCATAAGCTCTAACCAGAACCATAAATAGTGAGGATTGTGGAAGCTATAGACTCAAACGTCTGAAAGACCAAAGGCTCCCAACTTGTGAGGGTCTCTAGATATTGGATTTCAGTTCCCTGAATGTCTGGCTGTTAGTCATACCAGTAGGGGATTCAGAGATTTGAAGTCTGCGGACAACCTGGACAACTAAGATGGGAAACAACTATTTTACAATCATGCTTCAAAGCATGAACATTACAGTAGTGCCTCGCTTGACCAGGATAATCCGTTCCAGCAAAATTGCTGTAGAATGAAATCATCGTTAAGTGAAATTAAAAATCCCATTGAAATGCATTGAAAACCAGTTCAATACGTTCCAATGGGCGAAATACCTCAGTGTCCAGCAAAGATCCTCCATAGGGCGGCCATTTTCCGGTGCCTGTAATGCGAGGAATCCATCCTAAAACACAGTGGGGAGCCATTTTGCACAGCGGGTGGCCATTTTGAAGACCCAACGATCAGCTGTAAAGATCGTCATTAAGCAAAAAATTGGTTCCCAAAGCAGGGAACCAATCATTGTAAAGCGTTTTTTCCCTATTCATCGTAAAGCGATTTCCTTGTCTAACGAGGTAATCATCAAGTGGGGCGCCACTGTATATGAATTCAACAGAGTCCTACTTTGAGAAAGGATATATATGTATATCTCAGCTCTGCTTCATATGTGAATTTCAAAATGATTTGGTGTCCCCTTTTAACTTGCCGTAAAATAGCAGCTTTTTAAGAAAAGAGAAGGGTTAGTTCATGAAATGTAACTGCTTGGCACACACATGCAGGGATATAAAGTGCCCTCCAGTATGCTGGTTTTAGGATCGCTTGGGTGTGACTTAATTTGTTAATGAAGGGCAAAGGAATGTCAAGTTATGAAACCTGGCCATTAGGTGTAGGATCACTGGGTCCAGCTGTCTTGTAATCAGCTCAGTACTTCTCATTAAACCTCCTTGTCAGGAAGAAGATTCTTTGTCTGTTGTGGATGGGATGGAAGAATGCTGGAGGCAGCTTAACAGGAGGGGCAGGAGATTCTGTGGAGTGAAAGCTGTGAGATGAGTTAGTCCATCATTCATTCGCTGTCTTGTGTTTGGATGAAAACTGGAAGCCTAGAACAGACTAAAGAGTTTTGCTTTCTTGGCTGAAGATGTTATCCTGAATAATACTGAAGATGTTTCTTCATGTCTAACAGCTTTCCTGTAGATTGTGGAAATCCATTGATGTCACTTGTGGAAGCATCCTAGCTTATTTCAAATTTATTGTTTTCTATTGAGGATCCTACATTTTCCTCCAGGTGTTTTAAAACTAAGTATTGTTTAAAGATTCAGTAATCAGTTGCTTGGGACATGGTGGCGCTGTGGGTTAAACTGCAGAAGCCTCTGTTCTGCGAGGTTGGAAGACCAGCCGTCGTAAGATCGAATCCACACATCAGAGTGAGCGCCCGTCGCTTGTCCCACCTCCTGCCAACCTAGCAGTTTGAAAGCATGTAAAAATGCAAATAGATAAACAGGTACCACCTCGGTGGGAAGGTAACAGAGTTCTGTGTCTAGTTGCGCTGATCACGGAAACTGTCTACAGACAAAAACTGGCTCTATGGCTTCGAGACAGGGATGAGCACTGCGCCCTAGAGTCGGACATGACTGGACTAAATGTCAAGGGGAACCTTTACCTTTAATCAATTGCTGCTAAGCCTATTTGGCTCTTTTTAAAATTGGTTTGCTGTTTTCTTTTCTTTAATTGGATGTCGGTTTTATTCCTTCTGGCTTTGCCTTTGTATCTGTGTCTACTCAGGATCAGTTTGCCAACTCTAAGCTCCTACCTGTGTTAGTATGTAAAGGGCAGATCCTGTGGAAGGTTGGTCTGCTTCTGTCTGACGGATCTGTTGACCTGGTGAGGACAGAGGCAAAGCTGTAAGGAAACAAGGAGATCTAGCCAGCAGTGCCATTACAAAGTCTTTGAAGTTTCCATCTGATGATGTAGTTTTCTCTTTCCACTTTTACAAAGACAGATGAGGAAGGCTGAGTAGAAGGGTAATTGCTGAGCTGCAAGCAAGAGGTGATTGCAGCTTAATCTTGGCATATAGTACAGTAGTGCTGGGATATAAGGGTCAGGGTTCACTACATGCAACCAAGAAACTGAAGGTGGGCCACATTACCAATAAGACTTTAGATACTTGATGTGCATGTGCCTTCATACTCTCTTTGTATTTACTTCCTTCCTCCTCATTTTCAGGAAAGTGGTGACACTGGAGAAGGAAGAGACTCAAGCTTTTGGCTTTGAGATCCAGGTGAGTCAGTGTGCAGAGAAAAGTCCTCTTTATTTAATATCCAGCAGGGATGAGCATGTGTTGTGAGTGACAATCAGAGTGTAGTAAGGATCAGGCCAAAAGGATACATGAGCATACTTGTGAACATTACACTTTTGGAATATGTAAATTTGAGAGAGGGGATGTTTGTTGTTTTTTGTTTAATCTTGAAAACTCTAGGCTTTTCAGTGCTAGCATTAGACTTGGTACTGGAGTGATAGCATTGGAAATCAGACCAGTACCACATGTCACTGCAGTCTGTTCTTCAATACTTTAATGTTATTATTGAAAACTGTTGAGTTACAGGTTCCTGGTTTTCTAATTCTTGGTCACTGAGTTTCATTTTCTGGATCTTTGTGTTGCTGGGAAGCAGTTGTTCCTTGATTTAACATGTTGGGAAATGCTCAAGCTACAATAGAGTTTGCATGTTGCAGAGTGGCTATAGGCTGATTTCATAACCTTCCCTCCACACCACTTTCTTGCCTCCTTTAGACCTATGGATTACACCACCAGGACACGAAAAGTGTGGAGATGTTCACCTTTGTATGCCGCATACATGAGAATAGTCCAGCCCAGATGGCAGGCCTTAAACCTGGTAAGAGATTACAATGATGATTTACTGTTTGGAACCAAAAGAAGTTGCTTAGGTTTCACCTTGTCACACACGTTGCTTTGAGATGCAGCACACTGGGAAAAATGAGTAAATATAATATAGAACAGCCTGGTCTGTAGGAATGAAATTTTTGGATTTTCCAAACTACAAATACCATAATTCTTCATTCTGGAAGTTCTGCCTACCTTACAAGCACTTTACAAACACCTGAATGTGACCCACCTGGGAGAAAGGCTTCAATAAGAAGGCATTGAGGCCTAGCTAGGCCTTGTTTTGCCCAACCTTTCTGTTCCAATCCCAGTGCTAGCTGGGAGCTTTCTTCTTGAGCCAGAAGCTTGGCAGAGCTAGGCCTAGCTAAACCTCAAAACCTTCTAATATGGGCCTTCCTCCAAGGTGCATCACATTCAGGTGTTGGTGAGGTGCCTGGAAGCAGAACTTCCAGAATGGAGGATTACAGTATTTATAGTTCAGAAAATCTGAAAATCCCATCTTTCCTGGCCTGTAAGAGGAAAAGGGTTTTACTGCCTTTTTGAGCTGTAAGTAGGATGCTTGTAAGTAGGACACATGGACTAGGGCAGGGATAGGAAATCTCAGTATTCACTTCCACAGTACTTGTTTTTAAGTGTTCCTAACAATATATAAAGAACACTTCCAGAACACCCAAAATCAGCTGCTTGCGATTAGCCTCACAGCATGGCCAGCTCTCAGAGAGAACGGGAGAGAGAGATTTGCTGATTCAAAGAGGAGAATATGTCCACCTACTTCATACCAACAGGAGTTCCCTATTCTGATACCAACCCTGGGAAGTAATAAAGTAGGAACGGTGTGTCCTTTTGGCCCCACAGAGTGTTGGAATCTTCCCTCCAGTACTCTTCATGTGTGTACTTGGTGAAGATGTACTAATTCTTGTGAAGTGATGGCTCAATAGAGCAAGCATAGAGCAAGCATGCCACAAAGTCGTGGAGAGGTAACTGAGAGAAAGGCAATATGACTCCTTTCCACCCTGCGCGCCAGTGCTCTGTTCCCAGGAGAACTGAGGTTTGCATCCTTACTTTCACATTGGGTCACATGGTGAAAGCAAGCCGTCCCAGAGCTGCTTCGGAGAGGCAGAACAGGGCTCCAGGTGCTTGGCTGTGCTGAGCTGTGCAGCATTTGCTGCCTTTCTTCCTCCTAGTTAGTCCAAAGAGCCCTTTCCCCTCCTCAGTAAACATCAACTGATTTGAAAGGCACACCCATCCAGACCTCGGTGTATACCACTACTCTATAGAAGAGCTGCAAATGTGAGTTCAGCTGCAAATTGAGGATCAATGACCACAATCCTATGGTCAGTTCACGTTTGCATAAGGGAAATTTCATAATTTGGTGGCAAATTGTTAATGAGGTGCTGCTTATTAATGATCAGCAATTTGCCACCAAGATTTGTGTTGCTTTTCCTTGTGGAAGCATGAATCAGCAGTAGGATTATAGGATCTGGGTTTTTTTTTGGGGGGGGGGGTTATTTTAACTTTCCTGGTTCTTAAGAATACAGAGCTGTACTTGAAAGGGTACGAGCATTGCCTGATTAGGCCTGAGCAGAGCTTTTTAATGTTCATTTTAGATTTGGGGGGGATTCTTGAATTTGTAATCCAAAAAACACAAATTCCAAGCTGTGAATCTAAGAGCCAGAGGAATTGCTTGAATCCTGGCTGGGCTTTTTGTCTGCTGTGTCTTTGGCACTTGACTGAAGTATAGGCACCAGGGCTTCAAATTTCTTGGACTCCAAGAATTCACCAGGAATTCTCCCTGCCAGAATTTTGGGGCTTTAGCCAAGAAATCAAAGTAATCTCAGTAGTTTTCAGTTATCCGTAGGTGAGGAATGAAGATTCCCAGCCATTTTGCTCTAGTAAAGAAGACAAGGTGAATAACTATGGGCTATGAGAGGGATTAAGGATTTGGTAGATTTTGAGAGACACCCAGTACAGAACTAATGAGCAGAAAGACTACCAGTCCTCTAATCATTCACAGTTTCTATGGAACATAGCCTTTTCCACCTATGTCCTCTGTCTTTACTGGAACAAAATGGCTGACAGAGGCTTCATTTTCCACCTGCATGTAATTGAAACCTCCTATGTAGACTTTGCTTTCTTGGCTCAAGCCCTTGGAATTCTGGATAGGAGGTTTCCTGGCAAATACTGGGAACTACAGTCCAAGAAATAGGAAAATCTCATGAGTAGACTATGGCACTCAAAATAAATTGAGCAAAGTGGTTTCATTAATTTACATACTATGACTCGTACACTGTACAAGTCATAGAGTTTCATTTTGACTACAGCAAAATTTGGTACATAAGAACACACCAGATCCTCTTTCTCATACCAGAGGAAATGACATATCCTCATTCTGCCTTTTTATGCTATGAAAAAGGTACCAGCATTTTCTTGTTCATCTCTGCCCCATAGGAGATACCATCATTGGTGTGAATGGGCTGAATGTGGAGGGGATCCGGCACCGTGAGATTGTGGAGATCATCAAGGCATCTGGAAATGTGCTCAGGTAATAGAGAGACTGGTTATATTGGGGAGAACCTGCACCCACTTGCCTTCCTCAGGGGCAGTACAGGGATCTCCAACCAGACTTTTAATCTCTCCAGGCTGGAGACCTTGTATGGCACATCGATTCGGAGAGCGGAGTTGGAGGCTCGTTTGCAGTATCTCAAGGTGAGTGATGTTTCAGCAAGGGGACATGCAGTGAAATGAAGAAAGCAACCCCCAGGATAGTTTCTACATATTTAGAGAGAAAATTATGTTCTGTCTAGAGATGAGAGAAGCTCCCTTTTTAGACTACATTTGCTAAACTCTGACCATCAGAATGGGCAGTGACTAAGTTGGCCGTGGAGTTCTGGGAAGTGCAGTCCAAAACATTAACCTTTCCCATCTCTTATGTTACCCTTCTAATGTTTATGAATCATTACCAGAAGTCAGAAACAAGTCACTAAGAAAAGAGCAGAAACTATGGAATAAAAATTTACATTCTTCTCCTAAGTTATGGCCTTTTTGGTCAAAATTTGCCAGACAAGTTGCTAATTCTGAGAATTTCTTTATGCATTTAGACCAGAGTTTGTGGAAGAGTTATTTTGGGGACTAAAATTTCCTAAAACTCCAGAACGGTTTCTGAGAGCTGGCGTCCCAAATTGCCTTTTCTAAGCTCTGGTTTAGAGACCAAGGCTGAAATCCTATTTTTAGCTTAATACAGTAAGTTGCAAATAAAGCAGGCCTATTGAATCAGTGGGGAATTGCTGAGTTAGTTCATTAGTTCAAATGAGCTTACTCTGGTTCTAACTTACTTTAGCCAACATGCTTTTTCCCTTCTTCTAGTATTTCTCCAAAGTCTTCCAGATTCTTTGAGAACCTGGTCTTTAAAAAACCAAGCTATCCAGCCTGTGTCTATATGTAAATACAATATTGGCCTGCAGAAGAGAAATGGGAAGAGGAAACTGACATGAGTGACAAGATGGGAAGCTGTTTGCTTAATTTCTTTATTTCTGTTGCAGCAAACACTCTACGAGAAATGGGGGGAATATCGGTCGCTAATGGTTCAGGAACAGCGCTTGGTCCATGGTAAGTGCCAGGAAAAAGGTAACAAACATCTTTGTATGAATAATATGAATACATTGGATGGATAACACAGGCAGGGGGCAGTTTTCTGCTTCTTGGACTCTGCTGTCCCTCAGAAACCCATCCTAAAATGAAACCAAAGGTGGGTAAGCATTATTTTGTGGCTTGGAAATCAGCCTCTGTTTGATCACGTCAGCAAAAATAGTGAGTGTTGTGCAGTTGTCTACCCACATTTTGTGGGCAATGAATATGGGCTTGCCTCTGCCAGTCCTTGGATTAGCATTTTAAAACTGTTTTCTAATTTCATCTCTTGGGGCTAGTGACTGGGTGCTCTGCAATGTAGCCAAACTTAGAAGTGCTGATTAAGTCCTTTAAAACAGGAAAATAAAAGCCCCTTCTCCACTGAACTGCCCTCTGCTTTTATGAAATTCTTCTGTTCAACTGCTTCAGGGGTTGGCAGTCTCAACAGGCCTGAAGGCCACTGTTCAGTTATGCTGGGAGCTGGAAGTTCAAACTCCCAAGTGGCAGGGCGGGTGGGATGAGCATGGTGAAAGTGTCTTATTTGAACATTTAATTTGATACACAGTTTAAATGCAGTGATGGTGTACCATAAAGCAGCGGTCCTTGCTTCCACGAGCGTGGAAGCCCCCAGGCACGGAGCCCACATCCCCCAACCGGTCCGCGGTCCCAAAAAGTTTGTAAAGATATGGGGAGAACTGTGGTCTACAGGCAGAAAAAGAGATCCGTCATCACATAACCCTCTTCACGGTTGTAAGAACCACAGATCGACAGTTATGACCAGGAAACACTACGCTGAGTGAATATCAGGATCCAGGAGATATGAAGCCTTTCCCCTCCATAGATCATGTCTCCCAAATGCAAAGTGCATCAGTTCCCCAGTTGTTGCAATTGTCCTCACCCTGTCCCATTTTTGCTCTGCCAGAGCAAGTCTAGGGAGCTCTGGGTTTGTTGTTTCATCAGGAATCCTCCTTCCCCCGCCATCTTTGGATTTTCTCCATTAATGACTTATTTGGGGCTGCTGATGACTGCAAATTCCCATTGGGTGGAGTGGACCTGAATTGGGGTCTATGTACTGTATTCTGTTCTTGAAAACTGATGTGCACCCCTCCGCTCACAGGAAGAATTTTCTGCTCTTTCCTGTAGGGATTGTGGTTAAGGATCCCAGCATCTACGACACCTTGGAGTCTGTGCGTTCCTGCCTGTACGGCACTGCCTTGGCCAGAGGCTCTACGCCTTTTGGGATGCTCTTGCCAGGCGCAAGCAGCACATACAGTAGTGTGGGCTGTGTCAGCACGGCCACTGACGAGAGCGAGGATTCTGTCTACCAGACCTGCTTTTTTGACTCTGCCGATTCCCTGGACATTGTCTCTGCAGCTGCTCAGTCCTCTCGCCCCCGGCCAATGCTGACCCGTAGCGCCAGTGTCAAATGCCCCACCACCACCAGCAGCAATGGAGTTGCCCGTTTCTGGGACAAATCATGCGAACCAAAGAACTCCCTGGCAACGCCAAGGCCCAGGAAGAGCAAACATGGAAGTTTCCGCAAGAGGCTTCTGAAGTTCATCCCTGGACTGAACCGTTCTCTGGAGGAAGAAGAGAGCCAGTTGTAACAAGACTTGTATAGCGCTGGGGAAATGGTGCTGGCCACCATGGGAGCCTTCCTTTTCTAATTTGGCTATTTATTTATTTATTTATTTGACCAGCAAAAGGATATGGGCATCCACCACGGTGGTTGAAAAGACTGGAGCTTCCAAGAAGACATGAATGTCAGCAGTCAGTCTGTGCTGCGTTTGGCAGCTGTTCTCCACTTTTACTTCAAGATGTTTTTGGCCAACTAACCACCATGAACATTAGCCTTATTGGCTGGTTCTTCTGGCAGTTGTTGATCAAAACATCTGGCAAGCCAGAGGTGTAGAACTTCTGCTGTATGAGATGCAGGTTGGGCTGGATACATCGTGGACCTTGAGACTGCTTGAGCAGCTTCACTTTTGCAGAAAGTAGCTCATAGGCATGGGGTGGGGATGTGGGGGGGGGAGTTGACTCTTCAAGGAAACAGTGGGTTGGAATAGATAGGGTGGACCTCAAAAAGATATGTAGCAAAAAGTCAGGCCAAAAAAAAGCACAAGGCATCGCACCTTTTTCTTCCATACTTTTGGAGCACAATGCCTTTCCGGAATTGGAGTCGATCAACGTATTGATGCTACTGGGCAAGTTCCTTGCTGTTGGGGTGGGGTTAGGTAGCTTCTAAAAAGGGTGGAACCTGGGGAATAGAAAACTGCTTCCAGTTTTAAACCGCTAGGGACTTTAAAAAAAAAATAGGAATGTTTGGAAGACCTATGATTGTAAAATCGTGGGTTTTGTTTTATGATTCAAAGGGCTATTAGCAGAACTGGCATGCTGACCTAGGGCATGAAGTAGCATTTGATGTTTAGAGCTTCAAGTTTAAATAAGAGGTAGGATGGGAGAGTCCAGTTGTGGGATTTGGTGGGGGAGGGAGGGTAGAGCACATACAGAGCAGGGGTGGGTGTACAAGAGGAAGCCATGATGATAAGGGGTGAAGTAGTGAAGATATCTCCGTACCTGGTTAATTCACAGTGAATCTGTCAAAGAACGAGGCCTGCAAAACCTTAATGCTTTTCTGGATCAGCCTTTTCTCTTTTCAGGCTGTAGCTCCTTTGACTTGGCTCTTTCCAAGCCACTTACGAGGGGCGTAACATTAAGCCAGCAGGCAGCTGCACACTTTGGAGGCTCCAGCTTCCATGGCAGCTATCCTTTTATTATCTGTTGTGAGGACCTTCTAATATCAGAGTCTGATTGAGACTGCAACGTATGGGAACCCCCTCCCATTTCTTTAGTTCCACCACCCGTTTGTGTGTGGAGCTGTGGTTTTTGAGCTGCCAAGCTCTATCTGTAATCTGCTCAGAGGAGTTCTCTTCATGAGCCACATCCTGCCTGTCTCACCACCCCAAGAGGCCGCATTCCGTCTCCCCACAGGCTCTCTCCAGCACTTAAAAAACTCCAGATGTGCTGACACTTTTTCCCCCTCCTTCTCGTTTATAGAGCAGCTTTTGGAGAAGGAGGGGAGGAGCTGTTGTTGAATGCAAGTTCTCCCCACCACTACTCACAGAGCACGATTTAGAAGGCTTTCTGGCCATAAGACCCACAGGGCCTGTCCAGATTGTAATAAAGCTGATGTTCCTGCAACTGTGAAGGTGGTGTTGATCTGGTGGATAAACTGATTGTCCCCTTTCAGAACTGAGAAACACACAAAAAGAAGAACGGCTATGACTCACTTCAGGAGTGTAGACGAATGTACCATATCTACTTTAATTTTTAAATGTGGAATTATTTTTTTTAAATGTATGAACCACTATCATGGGATGTATGTCATGTGACTGCAGTGCACAATTCTACAGAAAGCAGAAGACGTGAGAAAACTGGGGCATTTCTCTAGTGTGATTGTGGCCTAAGTCAAGCCTTCAGAAGGACAGAACTGTTCCTGGCTTGTTTTTTTAAAGCTTTACTTCTCTTCAGTGTAGTCTGGTCTTTGGTGAAAACCATGGCTCATAGCAACCAAAAAAAGTACTTAATTTTTGCAACTGTAGCTCGACTTTATCTCAGGAAATAGCTACAGGAAGGAGAGGAGGGGAGGGACACCATATAGAGAAAAGAGGACAATGGGGCAAGGTTTACACAATTATTGTGTCTTGAAAGGAGATCCCACACCTTTAACTGAAAACAAAACAGAATGAGGTGACAGGGCTGGTTGGTTCAGGTCATACATGCACAAAACTGACCCAAGCAAGAGGTTCATGAGAATAGGGGGTTTTTTTGTACACACATTTCAGGTGTTACGTTTTGGATAAATACAACTTTTTTGCATTTAGGTGGTGGTGCCCGTGTCTTTTTTGCATCAGTTATGATGAGCAACTCTAAAACCACAAGGGTGCTTTGGATCCAGAAGCTGTGTGAGGGCTCCTTACTAGACCTCGTGGTTTTTTCTGCTTCACGGGTAGTTTCTTGTGCAAATAAAGTCTCAAGAGTTAATGTGTGACTAAATCTGAATGGGGAAGAGGAGAGCTCTTCAGCTTTGACCACAGCTAGGTGCAGTGGGATGTTAAGAGCAGACAGATCTTTTCTCCTGCACAGAACCAGGATTTCTACTGTCAGAGCATTGAACTGGCCCAGGTGGCTGCAGAGCTGAGGCTCCAAACGGCTCAGTGATTCTTCAGCATTTCCTCAGTACTCCAGCTCAGCTTTTCCACGACCTCTAGTCTGTTTTGTGTTCTAAAGCTGGGACCTCCCAAACAGTCAGTTTCTTCATCTCTTGTGGTTACCCTTAATTGCACAGAGGTCCGTTCTGCTCTGACGAATGGCCCAGAATAACCCAGATTAGAAGCAACTCCAGTTAAATTTAGCTTGGGAAGGAGCAGGTGCCTTCTCATCTCTGTTGGGTGATACTTCCTGTATGGATCACTACTAAAATTGCCACGTTTTCTTGTTGAAATCTGGGCCTACTCTTGTGCCCTTAATAGCAGCTCACCACACCAGCATTGCAGATTTTCCATGCTGCTTAAATCCCTGTCAGCAGAAGCTTCACCTGCTAAATTTGTGTATTAGGGCAGGCTTATTCTTTGTAGCAGCTTGGTGATTGTGTCTGCTGCTGAGTCTTCCCAGCTGCAGTAGGTTTAAGAGGGACCAACAGAGGCCAGAGCTAAATCTGAGAAGACGGCATTGTGTGTCAGGAGGGATTCCCCCCCCCCAAAGGATGTTGGTCCCTTGGAGCAGTACCAGCTGGGATACTTAAACAACAAACTAGAGGTTCTGCTCACTCCCACATTCAACAATTTTAAATTCTCAATTGCTTGTCCTGTATATATGCAGATATTCTTGGATTTTGATAAGTCATTTTAAGAAAATGAACTGAATGAAATTCTCAGCCATCTGCACTACAAAATACACTTGGTAACAGTTACCTCCAACATGGAAAGGATGAGATTGAAGCTCTGAGACCTGTAGTTGTGAAAGATGCAGCACTTGTGGGGGGATGTGAGAGTACCACAAATGGTTGAATCCACAGGGATTTTAAAAACAGGGTTTTTTTTCTAAACACTTAATCCTGCCAAGCCTTCTCCTTAGAGGCAAGACTGTCAGGTTTATCCCTCCCCCTGCCCTTCTGTTTCCTTATACTCCCAGATTCCTTCAGTTGTTTTCATGAAAATTTGTGTGAGTTTTGGGACTTACATATGCATATTTTAATATTTTTTTTCAATGAACCAAATAAATCATCATTCCTAGAAGGAGCATCTTCCCTTTCCACACAGCAACATCAAAACATTTCCCTGCATCAAGAACACTGCACGTTTTGACTTAATTACTGTACTGTGCTATTCTTGTTATATTAGCCTTTATGAAAAAAGAATCAAAATGTCCAATATCATAATGCCTTTAAATATATAGTGCTGTCTCAGCTGGAGAGCTACATACAGTCCTAACTACCTGAAGTGGAAAAGGCAATCAAAACGATCAGGTTGCTAGAACCATCTTCCTTATAAAGCAGTGTTTCTTGCATGGAGTCATTTTCTCTTTGAGAGTCAGGATGACAGCTATGGATTCACCCCTCTTCAGTGAAATGAAAGCTTAATAACGAGCTTATTTGTCATTAGAAAGGGTGTAAGCCCCCCCCGCTTCACAAAGATGAATATGAGTATAACAAGGGAAAAGATAAAGTGCATGTTTTGCTTAATTTGGGAAGGAAACAGCTATTTTGTAGGCCTGACATGAAATAAGCCATTCTTCAGATGTACAAACATGGCTGAAACGTGTTTTCTGAAAACATGATACTTGCTTGCTTCAAGGGTTTTAAAAAGGATGGGATGGACAAATCCATCTGTCAACGGGCACTAGTTTTCAAGGCATCTCCCGATTCCAAGGCCCTCAGATACCAAGTGCTGAGGAGAAACAGCAGGCAAAGAAGGCCCTCGACCTCCTCTTCTGGTTTTAGCTTTTCCCAGGAAGTGTGGTGATTATTCCCTGTGGGGCACTGGGTGCTGGACCAGTGAATGGAATCCATTGGGACTCCAGTGTTTTTAAGTGTATGCTTCCTCAACTTTACCACGACTCTCAGAGACAAGGCCAAGGAGGGGAGGTCTCACAATACCTTGTTTACAGACTTAGAGCTGAAGGGTTCTTAAACTGCTTAAAAATATTTACAGTGCCCCTGAAAGCTCAGAGGCAGAAGGGGGACAGGGAGAGAGAAAAGACTGCCTGCCCTTTTTCCTGAAAGCTCTTCCACCATTTGGGTGCGACCAATTCAAAGAAGATATTAAGATGACCTAAACTTTGGCCCTAATTCTGGTTGAGGGCTGCAGCTGCCATTGTCTCGGATCACTGGCTCGGGATGACACGTATGGACTGGAGCACGGCCCAAATTCTGAGCCTGGACTGCCTAACACTGTTATAAGAAGAAAATGACATAATCCTGGAAAGGCCATCCTGCAGCTCTAGGAAGAGGGGTGAGATTTAGCAGTGAGAAGATTACTCTAGATGAGAAGTGAGCATTGAGAGGTAATGCTCCTTAGTCCTTCCAGCATGGCCCCAGCAAAGCTATGTAAGCCAAGGTCTTCCTTCCTGACTGTTTTTGTCATATTCGTTCCTCTGACTCTAGACAGGGCAAGAGAAAATAAATGGAAAAGAAAAGCTGTTGAACTCCATGTTAAAAAAGAAAAAAAAAGTATGGCAGCATAAAACCAAAGTCTTAAAAGGATGCAGTCAAAGGAGAAAACAATTTATATTATCAGTCAGCCTAAATCCACTGAATGCCTCAAGTGTCTATTTTTCAGAAACACAATTTAGTCTAAGATCAAATACCCGAGCAAAAATTGCACACAGATGGGGAGGGGTACATATCCAATTCCCCAGCAATCCTTTTTAATTCATCTATAGTCATACCCCACTGCAGATTTACATGGAAGTTATTTATTTAAAATATTTTACCCCGCCTTTCTCCTTTAAAAGGACCCAAAGTGACTTACATTATTGAAAGAGCATTTAAAGCTACAAATATGAGAATGCAAAGGCAGTTCACATCATTAAGAGACAATATTTAAAGTTAAAACAATAAGTCTAAAAATAATAGAAAGGAAGAAACAAACAAAAACCACTCTGAGAAATGGTAAACACAAGCAATATTAAAAACACAGTCAAAGCAGTAAAGCACAACCATCCCCTTAAAGATCCCACTCAGGCAGCCAGTCAGTGAGGGAAAGCTTGCCTGAAGAGAAAGGCCTTTGTCTGCTTGCAGAAAGACAGTAAAGATGGAGCCAGCCTGGCCTCCTGTGGGAGGGAGTTCCAAAGTCTGGGAGCAGCAACAAAGAGAGACCTCTCCTGTAAGTTTTACAATAAGTCCTGCTGTATTCAGCAGAGCTTTACTCTGTGATGCAGAGATTGAAAACCTGCATGCCCTGAATCTAATCATTCTCCGGACTAAAGGCAAATTATTAAATCAATGCAAACTTAGTAAATCATCATTAATGTTGAGTTCCATTGCTTCCTAGATCACAAAGAATGACCCAAAAGACATTTGCACAAGAGATGGCACAAGAGGTTCCATAAGTTGTTGTTTACCTCAGAAAAAGTGGGTTTACCAACCCACCTCTGCCAATAAATCTGACTGACACTTGGACAGGATAGTCAAGTAGCTCGAAGGACACTGACCCCTTCCTGACTTTGTCCCATCTCTTGTGCAAATGTCTTTTGGGTCATTCTTTATGATCTAGGTCCAGTTTGGGATTCAATGTGAGCATATTTAAAGCAGTTTGGAGTAGGAGGTGTTCTACAATAGTACATATGGGAGGGAAGGGTTAATCCTTATCCAGCTCAACTACACCCACCCGCCCAAGTTCCACAGCCTCTTTTAAGGCCAAATGTAAAGTGAAAAAAACAACAACCTGGTCTGGCCTTATTTGAAGCAATATACCAAAGGTAGAGATCTCTGGCTTTTTCTTCATCATCTTGTCCATGGCCCCGTTATCTTCACTCTCATCTTCTACCAACAGCACCTAATGAGCAGCAGACTAATTGGCTGTATTTGGTGGGGGTGGGGTGGGGGAGCTGAGGAAGCTTATGCTTCATCCTGGGTGCAGCAGCTTACTTCAATGAACTCCCCCATCCCCATCTGTCACCAGGCAATCTTAAGAACCAACCTTTTGTTCCCAGAAATGCACGCTTAGCAGGGAGTTTGAGAAGACTTGACAGAAAATAAGAAAATGACATCAACAAATCTCTGCTGGACATCTGGGAAGTCCAGGTTTCCAAGATCCTTAAAGCCACGACATTCCAAGGTCGGCTGGAGAAGACAATAGGAATTGCATCTTCCACTCCAGCTCCAATGAAGGTTGCCAAATTTTCAACTCAAGTAGAGTAGCTGTGCCTTCAGTGGCCATTCAATGGGCAGAAAACACCACGAAGGCCAACAATGGTAGCAGGTGAAAACTATTGTCATCTTTGTTGTGAAAGCTATCATGGGCTGCTTTCTTCTTAGAGCCCACCCAACCTCACCCCAGATTTGTGGTTGTTGTTTAGTCATTAAGTGGTGTCCGACTCTTCGTGACCCCAGGGACCAGAGCATGCCAGGCCCTCCTGTCTTCCACTGCCTCCCGGAGTTTGGTCAAAGTATAAATTAAAGGAGCAGGGGGACAATATACAGCCTTGTCGTACTCCTTTCCCAATTTTGAACCAATCAGTTGTTCCATATCCAGTTCTAACTGTTTCTTCCTGTCCCACGTATAGGTTTCTCAGGAAATAGATAAGGACCAATCAGTTGTTCCATATCCAGTTCTAACCTATTCTTCCTGTCCCACGTATAGGTTTCTCAGGAAATAGATAAGGTGATCAGGCACCCCCATTTCTTTAAGAACTTGCCATAGTTTGCTGTGATCCACATAGTCAAAGGCTTTTGTATAGTCAATGAAGCAGAAGTAGATGCTTTTTCTGGAACTCTCTGGCTTTCTCCATAATCCAGTGCATGTTAACAATCTGATCTCTAT